GGGGGGGGGGGGGGGGGGGGGGGGGGGGGGGGGGGGGGCGAGGCGGGCAGAGTGCAAAGAACTGGTTTTCCCAGCATGACCTTTGACACCACCCTCAACTTACCACCTTGGTCCTATCTACCCCAAGATCCGGGGTCTCAAACCCCAACCCCTGTCCTACTAGGTCTGGCCTTACTCCTTTGCACCCGCCTTCAGGTTCCAATTCAGTCCCAGAGCTTGTCCCCAGTGCTGGCCCCACCGCAATAGTCAATACTGTCTGTCTCGGCCCACTCAAGTCTTCTGTCTCCGCCCCCCACTGGTGACTCTCCCTCATCTTGCTCCACACCTGTTTTCGGCCCCTAACCTTGCTCCTGTCCCCCAAACACCTTACAGCTCTAGATCCGGCCTCCACCTATGGCCACGCCCTCATCTCCGAAGTGCTTTCCCTGCCCGCAAAGCCCCTGGGCATCAAGACCCCGCCCCGAACTATAGCCCCTTTACAACCCAGTGCCCCACCCCTGCGCCCACCTCTAACGCCACAGGCCCCGCCTCTGCCGTGGCCCCGCCCAGAGCACCACCCCAGGCCCCGCCCCCACGCGGCCCCGCCCCCAGCGCCGCCGGCCTCACCGCGTCCCAGTGATCGTATTCGTAGCGGCGGCGGCGCAGCTCGGGCTCCAGCTCGCGGCTCAGCGTCTCCTCCTCGGCCGCGCTTAGGAAACCTGGCCGCACCACAGCCGCGTCCCGAAGGCGGCTCAGTACAGCCGGGCCCGAGCCCCGCACCCAGCCGGGCACCGGTAGCGTCCCCAGCGCCAGCCGCCCACTCCCGGCCATAACCCCGGAGCCCGGTCGTGGAAGCGGTCGGAGTCGGGGCTGCGCCCCCGCCCCGGAGCCATTGGCTGTGGCCGCACCGGACCCCTTCAGTGATTGGCCTTCCCCAGAGTCCCGCCTCCCGGCCAAGGCTACTGGTTGCTGCTCGGCTCGCCCTCTCAAGCTCTTGGCTCCCCGTAGAACCCGCCTCCCCCCGCCCCCCGACCCCGCGCTGTGGGGCGCCATAGATGATGGAGGCCGGGGGGGGGGCAGGGCTCGACGGGCTTCGGGGTCAGGAGCTATTGGAGGCTTTGGGCCAAGGCCCCGGTTGTGGAGTCGGCCAGGACTTGAGATGAAGGGAAAAGTCCGCTCAGGCTGAGAGGAAGGGGTCAAGGGCACGGGGTTCAGGGGAGTGACATCAAGGCCATGATCATGGGGTGGGGCCAAGTTAGAGGTTGGGGTCAAACGTTGAAGCCAAGCATCACCCATGCCCCCTCTCAACTGGGTCATTCCCACCCGTGTACAAACAGGCTGGCTCCCACCTTATAAATAAAAAACAAAAAAACCCCTCCTCTTCCCTTAAGCGTAGAATTGACGGAGCACCACTTTGCTGCCCTTACTGGAACATTTAGTGGATCTAGACACGGTTTGTCATCTGCCCCTAACATCACAAAATGAGGGACCACGACACTTTGGGCGCCCCCTGGTGGACGTGCGCACCTCCACCTAAGAGGTCACTTGCCAAAAATGGAACCTGAATCCGATCAGACTTACCTAGGTTTATACCTCAAGTCACAGGAAATATGAAGGACAGAGGTCACAGCCCATCCTGATCCAATCATCAAAATTCAGATGGAAAGTCCCCGAGACAAGAGAGTGAATTTCAAGGAAAGAGAAGAAAAAGAGGGAGAGATTGAGAGAGAGATTAAGGGGAAAACCCACGGTTAAAAGAGACTTTGGGATATACCTACCAGTTGCAAGGTGCACCTTATTTGGATGCTGATTCGAACCAACTAAAAACATAGAGGTAAACCAGGAAGATTTGGACGCTGGTTGAATATGTGACGATAGTGAAGTATTGTTTTTTTTAGGTTTGCAAATGGTATTCTGGGGGTCTTTGTAAAGATTTATCTTTTTCGAAATACGTTGGAATATTGACCCCACAACCCCTCCAGGGACAGCCACAGGTTCTCAGCTCTCCTTATACAATGAAATTCCTTGAAATATGTGACCAGCTCCCGTGTCTTCCCGCCCCTTCCCTCTGGGTGCACTCCAGGCTGGCTTTTGGCCCCCACAGCACTGAAAGTGCCCCTACTGATGCCATCAGTGACTTCCACTGTGTCAGATCCAGCAGCCGGTTCTCAGCCCGACTGCTAATTCATCGACATACCGATGATGTCTTTTCCATTTTCATTCCCAACCCTGACCCCAGATTTATCCGCCCCCTGGGATGTCTGAGGCACGTCCAACACCAGAAAGTCAACGTGTCCAAACTCGACTCCTGATCCCCTGCCCCCACACCTGCGCCTCCCTGCAGCCGTTCCACCTGTCAGCTCTGCCTTAAAACCTGCCTAGAATCTGACCTCTCCTGGCCACCCAGCTGGGGCCGCCAGCCTTCATCTGATTGTTCCAAGTCTCTGAACTGGTGTCCGGTTTCCACGCCAACTGCAGTCCTCCCAGTACTCCATGGCAGCCACAGTCTTCCTGCTTGTCATTTTCTTAGAACCCTCCGTGGCTCATCTCCCTCCTTGCTCAATCTACCAGGCCTTTTAAGGTCTGTCCTCCTTCCTTTTTTTTTTTTTTTTTTTTTTTTTAAAGATTTCATTTATTTATTTGACAGAGAGAGACACAGTGAGAGAGGGAACACAAGCAGGGGGAGTGGGAGAGGGAGAAGCAGGCTTCCTGTGGAGCACGGAGCCCGATGTGGGGCTCGATCCCAGGACCCTGGGACCATGACCTGAGCCGAAGGCAGACGCTTAATGACTGGGCCACCCAGGCGCCCCTGTCCTCCTTCCTTTCTGTTCTCATCTCTCCACTGTCCCCCTGCCATTCCACTTCAGCCATGAGCCTCCTCAGGGGCCCCTCCCCTTTGGCAGCCACAGTCCTGCCACAGGGTCTTTGCACTTGCTATGCCCACTGCCTGGACTGCTCTGTCCCTCTCTCACCTTAAACCTTGTTCAAGCATCACCTTCCCAGCAAGGCCTTCACTGGCCACCCCCATCGAACGCTGTAACTCTCTCTCTCACACACTGCATACCTCTTTCCCTGCTTTTTCAAGAACTGTCTACCTCCACAAGAATAAGTTCTTGTAGACAGGGATTTTTGTTTTCTTCACGATATGTCGTGGCCTCTAGAACAGTGCCTGAAATGTCCTATTTGCTCAGTAAAGTTTGCTGCAGTTAGGGCTTGGAAGGTCAGAGCCTCAGGGTCACGGTGAAAGCAGAGGAGGCCTCGTGCAGGGCACACGTGTGCGAGCCACGGTGGAGCAGGCAGGCAAGGTGACACAGATGGGGATCAAAGACTACAAAGATTTAATTGAAAATCACAGTGTCTCATTCAAGATACCTGCCCTGAAGGGCAGCCCCAAGCCCAGAGTTCCTCACAGGGCCCTTCCAGGCTCAGCAGTGAGGGGTGGGCAGGGCTGTGGCGCCAGCGTCTGACTGGTGCCTGGCTCCCCCGACTTTCCTCTGGAGGGTGAGGTCCCAGCTCTCAGATGCTTGCTGGGGCGGGCTCTGCTGCCGCCACCACTGCCACGGGCTCCTTCTGCACCAGCTCCGGCTCATCCTCACCGTCCTGGGGAGGGTGGACCAGAACCTTGTCTAAGATGCCAAACTCCTGGGCCTCCATGGGGCTCATGTAGCGGTCCCTCTCCATGGCCGACTCTGCCAGGGGAAGCAAGGATGTGTGGGGTTAAGGGCGGAGGCCTGGGGCCAGGCTGGGGTCCCCGTTCTGCCACTTCTTCGCTGGATGACCTTGGCCTTCCCCGCTTGGTGCCTCGGTTTCCCCACTGGTAAAATACCCATTTCCATTTTTCTTTTTTTACCGGTTATTGATGTCTAATATACACCCAGACGGTAAGCAGACAGTGTGAATTTCAGACAGAACATAACCCACATGGCCAGCACCCAGGCCC